CCCCAAGCCCCTCGAGACAGGCTTTCTCTGTGTAGTCCTGGCTGTCCTGGAACTTGATCTGTAGACCAGGCTGGCCTCGAACTCAAGAGACCTGCCTGCCTCTGCCTCTTGAGTGCCGGGATTAAAGACATGGACCACTACCTCGTGGGCTAGATTTTAAATGAAATTTCTTTATAATTTTTTTTACATGTATTTACTTTTTGTTGTGTGGTGGTGTATTAGTTGGGGGCTTGTATAAGTGGCATGTGGAGGACAAAGGACAGTTAGTGGGTGCTGTTCCTCCCCTCCCGCTGGGGTTCTAGTGCTGGAACTCAGGATCTCAGGGTCTGGCAAGCACCTCTACTTGCTGAGCCATCTTCTTGGCCTCTGATGTCTCTCTCCTATTTCAGACTTGTGGTGGGGCGAGGCATCGTTTGAGGAAGGCCAAGTGCTTTGTATGGTGTGTTCCGTCCTTGCCTTTTGAGGCCTCGACATCTGGCACTTCCTGTACCAGGAAATAACTTGAGGCATATTGTCTTAGTTAGGTTTTTACTCCTGTGAACAAACACCATGACCAAGGCAACTCTTATAAGGACAACATTTAGTTGGGGCTGGCTTAAAGGTTCAGAGGTTCAGTCCATTATCACCAAGGCAGGAACACGGCAGCATCCAGGCAGGCATGGTGCAGGAGGAGCTGAGAGTTCTACTTCTTCATCTGAAGGCTGCTAGCAGAATACCGGCTTCCGGCAGCTAGGATGAGGGTCTTAAGTCCACACCCACAGTGACACACCTACTCCAATAAGGCCACACCTTCTAATAGTGTCACTCCCTGGCCCAAGCATATACAAACCATCATACGTATACTTAGTAGGGGCTCAAAAAAGGCACCAGCTGGCTGATTTAAGTCATCTCCACTAAGTGAAGGTTCCCCCTGAGTGTGGAGACACAGCAATGGCTGTGACAGAGTTCCTGCTCTGTATGAGTAATCCTGAGCCGCGTGTAGCGTGTGGCAAGGAAGCGGCTGCCCCGCTGATGGAGGGATGACTTAGTACTGGACGCAGTGGACAGGAGAGTCAGGAAGGCATGGTGGGAAAGACACAGGGGTGAGTCTCAGCTGCAGAGGGGTGACATTGGTAAGCCTGAGAATCATAAGTGAGCTTCACGTTGTAGTCTGAGCACCTTGGTTCAGTACAGAGCTGTGTAGTGGAGTCTTTGCTCTGAACTCCCTACAGCACCAGTGCCCCGGCCCCACCCACCCCTCCTAGGGAGACAGGCTCTCCATGTGTAGCTCCGACTCAGCCTGAGTTGGAAATGTCCCTGCCTTAGCCTCCAGGGTGTTGGGATCGTGGGCACATGCCACCGTGCCTAGCTTTGGCTCAGCACCCTACGTTTTTCGCCAAGGGAATTATGCCACATTGCTAAGCTCATTTAAAAATATCCTATATTTTGCTAAGTAATATATATTTATGTGGTTCTTGTACATTTGAAAGGCATAAGACGCTATGGGCAGGAGAGATTGCTGAGGCGGCTCACAAAGGCCTAGAGCTCTTGCTCATGGGGACCCAACCCCGTGTCTGGACTCCGAGAGCCCTGCACTCTTGTGTGCATGTGTGCTCACATTGCTTGCTTTGTTTTTGTTTTCTTTCGAGAAAGGTTTCTCTGTAGCCCTGGCTGTGCTAGAAATTGTAGACCAGGCTGTCCTTGAACTCAGAGATCCGCCTGAGTTGCTTTGGGTCACAATATCCCAGCAGCAGAAAAGCAAACTAGAACAGAACTTGGCGCCAGGATCACAGGGTGTTGCTGTAACTGACCTGACCATGTTGTCTTGGGAGGATTGTGGGAGGAGCTTGGCACATTGGGAGGATTGTGGGAGGAGCTTGGCACATTGGGAGGATTGTGGGAGGGGCTTGGCACATTGGGCAGATTGTGGGAGGAGCTTGGCACGTTGGGCTGGAGACCGCCTGAGTGTTGAGAGCCTGTTGAGCTGTGTGAGAACTTGGAAGATAAGGCTGCGAGCAGGGCCGACAGCGGAGGCCCGCCTTGGGAAGTTGCAGAGGGACGTTTGAGAGCTCCTTAAACTCTCTGGGGAATTGGTTGTGTTTGTGAGATGTGAGTTAGGAATCTGTAGCTGTGGTTACATGTGACTGATGATCAGCTGTGACCAAGAAGGGGTCAGCACCGCTGGAGTGGAACTGCTTTGCTTGGGACAGTGGATGCTGAGTAGCTGGAGCTGAGAACCAGCTGTGATTGACAGGAGACCAGCATCACTGAGGGGAAGGCTTCTGGGAGTTATTTCCTCAGGGTCAGCACACAGAGGCTGTGGCCGAGGATACAATTCCTTTTGGCTTTGATAATATGTAGGCTTCTTCCATGTGGTCCTGTTTTGTTGTTGTTGTTTTTCTATTTTATGTGCATTGGTATTTTGCCAGGGATTTGCCATGTGGGTGCTGGGATTTGAACTTGGGTCCTCTCTCTGGAAGAGCAGTCAGTGCCCTTGACTACTGAGCGGACTACTGAGCCATCTCTCTAGCCCATGGTCCTGGTTTTAAGGGCATGAAAGGGTCATAGAGAGCAGCGGAGGTTTGGCACTTTTGAGAGGCCAGGAGAGGCCATTGGAGACACCAGTACAATGGGATGACTTCCATAGGTCAGCAGCAGCTGTGGTCCTGGGCCTCTGAGACATGCTGCATGTGCTAGTCTTTCTTTTCTCATTTGTCCCTGAAATAATGTTAATTTGAGTATCACAATTTAAAACATATTATAACTTTAAAAGCCTCAGAGCTTTTAAATGGCAGAGCTGGAGAAACAGAGCCGGCTAGGCCCTTTGGAATGCAGAGGATCATGTGCGGGTCCCAGACAGGAGAGGTGGAGGGTTTTTTTTTTTTTTTTTTTTTGGTTTTTGAGACAGTTTTTCTCTGTGTAGCCCTGACTGTGTTGGAATCAGCTCTGTAGGTGGCCTCAGACTCACAGAGATCCACCTGCCTTAGCCTCCTGAGATCAGAATCATGTGCCACCATGCTGGGCCCAAATTGAAATTAGTTTTTAAAAGATTTATTTATTTATTTATTTATTTATTTATTTATTTTATATGCGTACACTAACGCTGTCTTCAGGCACACCAGAAGAGCATCAGATCCCATTACAGATGGTTGTGAGCCACCATGTGGTTGCTGGGAATTGAACTCAGGAGCTCTGGAAGAGCAGTCAGTGCTCTTAAGTGCTGAGCCATCTCTCCAGCCTCTAGACTGCACTTTTAAAGTGTTGAATTTTTTTTAAGACTGTGAGGCTTTTAAAGTTATAATATGTTTTAAATTGTGATACTCAAATTAACATTATTTCAGGGACAAATGAGAAAAGAAAGACTAGTTGAATAGCAATGTGTCGTGCGTCAAACTGACAAGTGCTAAGTTGTGACGAGCTAGGGTCATCTGGAAAGAAAGAGCTCTGAGAAAACACCTCCATCACATTGGCCTGTAGGTCATTTTCTTGATTAATGGTTAACGCAGGAGAATGCAGCCCAGAGTGGGTGGTGCCATCCTTGGGCAGGTAGTCTTGAGCTGTATAAGAAAGCAGACTGAGCAAGCCACGGAGAGCAAGTCAGTAAGCAGCACCCCTCCGTACATAGTCTCTGCTTCAGCTCCTGCCTCCAGGTCCCTCCCTGGGTTCCTGCTCTGACTTCCTTGAAGAACAGTGAACTTTAAGATGAAACCAATCCCTTCCTCCTAGGTTGTTTTTGGTCATATTACAGTAGAATTCCTGACTAGAAACTGCTTTGGATGAAGTAGCCTTCAGGTAAATAGGTTTATCAAGCACATGACAGAGGGAATGTGCGCACCCAAGTGAGTGCCCAGTCTGGAGAGCATCCCACCTTGCTGGAGGAGCAGCTTCCCTCCTTCCTGGCTGCTGCTGAGTTAGGTGTTATGTGGAGCCCTCCGACAAGGTTGATGATATGGAGAGGGTGGTGTGGCCTGCTCACACCCCAGCGCCTCCTGTAGCATTCACTCTGTCTCTGCCACTGCCTGCTCAGTCGGCGGTCCTGTTGGAGTTTGTCTTCATCCCTAGCCTTCCTTTCCTCTTTTTCCTTCTGTCTCCCCATGTCTCTCCCCTTTCCTCTTTCCTCTTTTTCTCTTCCTGTAGCCAGCTTCAGTGAAGGCCTACTCTCTTGTGTCTCAGTTTGAAGGACTGTGACTGCAAGGAGAACTAACTAAGAGCTTAGGCAGTCAGGATTGAGAAATTTGGGTGGGAAAGATGGCTCAGAGGTGAAGGTGCTTCCTGCCAAGTCTGAAGACTTGATCCAGCCTCTGAATCTGTCCAGTAGAAAGAAAGAGCCAACTCTCAAAAGTGTCTCTGACTCCACACATAGTCACTCTCCAGGAACTTCTGCAGACAGACGGGTAAGTGGGATAAAATGAAAGGATGATTTTTTAAAAGAAATAGCTGGGCTGGAGAGATGGCTCAGTGGTTAAGAGCACTGACTGCACTTCCAGAGGTCCTGAGTTCAAATCCCAGCAACCACATGGTGGCTCACAGCCATCTGTAATGAGATCTGATGCCCTCTTCTGGTGTGTCTGAAGACAGCTACAGTGTATTCATATATAATAAATAAATCTTTAAAAAAAAAAAAAAAAAAAAAAGAAAGAAATAGCTGTTAATTACTGAGCGTTACTGGAAACACCAGCGCTGCCACTGTACACGTTGCAGTGATAGTGTGCTTTCTTCTGTATTGTTTAGTTTTCAAGCACCCAGGTGAGGCAAGTTCTATCATCGCAGTCTGATAGTAGATAGAACTGAAGGCTTGGTGAGGAAATGGTTATGTGTGCATTCCTGCCCTGTGGTATGGTTCATGTCATCAGGATCGTTGATGACAGCCACATATACAGCTGCAAGAGGAGAGACATCACTGTGACCTCCATGAGTGCAGGACCCATGCTAGACAGAGGCAGGGCACGTGGAGTGCGGGTGTACGAGGCAGTCCTGTAATCCAGACCTGCCCAGCTAACGCGTCTCTTCTTCTTTCCCAGCATCTACCACAAGCCTCAGTGGATCTGACAGTGAGACGGAGGGGAGGCAGCCCTGCTCTGATGCTTTCAAAGATGCCTTCCCAGCAGACTCCCTTGTGGAGGGAACATCTTCTCGATATTCCATGTATAACAGTGTTTCCCAGAAGCTTATGGTATGTCTCAGCTTAGAATGAATGTCTAAAGCTGCCTAGAAGAGAGAGAGACAGAAAGAAGGCCAGGATGTACTGGTGTTGGGGGGTCAACTCACTCTGTAGACCAGGCTGGTCTCAGACTCCCAGAGATCTGCCTGCCTCTGCCTCCTAAATGCTGGGATTAAAGGTATATGCCACCACCGCCCGGTGTTTGGCTGTAGAAACTCTGTAGAGGAAAAGCAGCCTCCTCTCAGTAGACATGTCTGTCATGTTGGACTCAACCATGAAAAGTGCCAGTCTGTGCTGTCCTGCAGAACTGGGTCATAGCTGAGTGCCCTCACTAATTGTTGAGCATCGTAAGTATGTGGCAGTCTTCCCTAGACTGGGTGCCTGTCAGCGCTTGTGGAGGCTTCCTGCTGCCTTTGCTCTACTGAGTACCCTCAAAGGAGAGAACTCGATGCCTTTTGATTCTGAGGTGCTGCAAGCAGGCAGCTTGGTCTCTTTCCATGGAAGGCCCAACTCTTTCTCGGCTTTCATACCCACTCACAGGCACCAAGATGAGGCGGGAGACTGCTGACTTTCCTCAGTAAAATCTAGTGGCTGTGTAAAGTTTAGAGACGGCCACATTTGCCTCCTGTCCAGCTTCGGCATCTCATGGTTGGCTCCTGTAATTTTGTTGGATTAGATTAAGAGTGAGGCGCACCCTGCTGAAGTCATGGGTCAGGGTCTAACCTGAAGCCTGTAAACTCTGGGCACGTGGACCATGGGAGCTCAGGACTGAGACCCCGGAGAGGGGTGTGGCTGCTACAGAGTCTGCCCGTTCCTAAGCTTCAGTAGCAGCTTTCAGATAGTGGAGGCTCCCACCCTCCGGAAGGAGTTAGTTCTTGGCATTGAAGTTCCTCAGTTGGGTAAGACTCGTGGGATTTGGGATTTGGGTCCCTGGTCATTGAGGTCTTACCTTTGTCTAGTGACTCTGGGGTCTAGTGTGCATGTATTTTTGCCTTTAAAAAGCCACTAAAAAGGCATTTCTGTGCCATGCCTCCACATGTCCTCCCTCTCTGTCTTACATGACGTGAACTTTCAAGTTACTCTCCTAACTGACTGGGTTCCTGTGAGCCTTCATTGTCCTAGTCTGAAGGCCTCATGCCTGGGCAAAGGGTAAGAGAGGAGCTACTGCTTGAAGCTGCCGTGTCCTAAATTAGGCTCTCTACCAGCTCTACTCTGCATTTCCTGTTCACTTAATCAGACAGGATGGCTGCAAACGCCCAGTGAGATTCATTGAGTATTCTTGGTGCTTTTAATTCCAGCACTACAGTCATTTATCTAACTGAGGTTGCCCTAGACTCTCAGAACAGACACTGCCCACAGTGGGTTAGGTATGCTTCTTGCCGTTGTTAGGCTAACAAGCAGACTGTAGGCCTCAATCATTGATATTTCTCAGGGTTTATCAGCATGTATGGCCTGTGGTAGGGACTAAATAAATGTCTGTTGACTGAATTAACTGTGCTTTGTTCTTTTTTCAGGCCAAGATGGGCTTCAGAGAAGGCGAGGGATTGGGGAAATACAGCCAGGGTCGGAAGGACATCGTGGAGACCTCCAGTCAGAAAGGTCGACGTGGTTTGGGTCTGACACTGCAGGGCTTCGATCAGGAGCTGAATGTGGACTGGCGAGATGAGCCGGAGGTAACTGGTGAGGGTGGGAAACAGGAAAGCTGCTGGTGTTCTGGAATGGGTAGCTCTCTGAAACCAGAGTTTAACAGATTAGAACCCGCGGGAGGCAGTTTGAGGAGGGTCTTATGTCAACTTAACACTAGGTAGAGTCATTTTAGACGAGAGAACTCAATGAGAAAATGTCCTGAGTGGATGGGGCAAGCCTGTGGTGCATTATTTGATGGATCGTTGATGGGGGGGGGCACAGCTTACTGTGGGAGACGCCACCCCTGGACTGGTGTTCCTGGGTTCTGTAAGAACACAGGCTATACCCAGGCAGTAATGCTGGTGCACACCTTTAATCCCAGCACTCGGGAAGGAGAGGCGGGCAGTCTGTAAGTTTGTAGCCTGCCCAGTCTACACTGTCAGTTGCAGGACAGCCAAGGCTACACAGAGAAACCCTGTCCCAAAAACAAGCAAAAAAAGAAAGCAGGCTGAGCAAGCAGCACCCTCCATGGCCTCTGCATCAGCTCTGCCTCCAGGTTCCTGCCCTGTGTGTGCTCCTGGCCTGATTCCTTCAGAGGTGGACTGTGATGTGGAAGTGTAAGCCGAGTCAGCACTTTGCTTCTCAATTGTGTCTTGGTCATGGTGTTTCATCACAGCAGTAGAAACCCTGGCTGAGACAGACAAGAACCTTGGAGCAGCATGCAGAGGCGGCGGCTTGTTCTGCTTTTCTAGGACTAAGGCTAGGAGACAGAGTATGGTTGAGGGAGACTGGCTACACAGAGCCCTTTCCAGGCTAAGTGGGATGTTGCTCGTAGCCCTCACAAGCTAGGAGCTCTCTCTGCTAGCAGGGCTGGGCAGGCAGGTGAGCACTCCTTGCCCCACTGTGTGCAGGACAGGGTAGGAGCCTCTGAGACTCTGTCCTCACAGAGGTCAGCAGGTCCTGAGCAGGTGTTTGCTTGTGTGCTGCTCTCCTGCTGGGCGGGTGGCTTAATTGTTTATTACCTGATTGTATTTATTGAGACAAACTTGTGCAGGGTTGAGAATCAAACTTCAAATCTTACACATTCCAGGAAAGCACTTACCACCAAGCCATATCTCCAGGCTGAAGTGAGGCTTTTTCTTTGTTATGTACAATAGTGTTGAAGTTTTGCCTGTTTTTACCTTATTCCTCAAGGATTTGAAGTGTCAAGGTATGATAAAAGCACTTGAAGACGGCAGTAATCTGAGCGCTATGGTGTTGAGGTTAGGGACCAGCACAGGTGTCTGACCACAGCATGGTGGCTGTAGTTAGGAAGCAGTGGCTCTGGGTGCTGGGAAACTGCTGTGCTACTTGCCTCTGTGACATCTCAGGGAAAGGAGGCCACAGGGCTGTGTATGGAGAAAATTTACTGAATTTTTTTTTTTCCATTCTTACTGGCCCTACCTAACAGCTTTGTGGTGGACCTGCTCTGTTGCCTCCTAGCTGTGCATGCAACTGTGGAACTGGGTAAAGATTTATGGCTGCAAGCCTCCTGTGGCCTTAGAAAGACCGAGTGTTTTTCTTATCTTCTTTTGTGTGGAACAAGTTGGTAGTGGCTCTGATCCTTTCATGGGGCAGAACGTGAATACACTTGATTAAATTTGAAGTATGAAAGTCAGTTGTAAAAATCGCTTTTTAAGGAGATAGTCTATAAAGAAATCCCTTTTTTGTGATGAAGCTGTTGCAGTTGCCATTGACCATGATTGACTTTTCTCAGCTGCTGGTAAATTAAGAAGGCCTTGGCTGCAGAGTCAGTTGGTAGCCGCTGCCTTAAGACAAATGTGACTGGTTGGGCCCCAGCACGGAGAGTGCTTAGGGGCTCCTGGAGCCCACATGTTCAAGGTTTGACATCTCAGGCAAATCCATGCCCTGGGTAGTCTTAATGTACAGGCTTCCAGAAGGAGATTGCTTCTGTTTTTACTCAACAAAGGGATGTCCGGTGTGTGTCTGGCTTTCTTGTCATGTACAGTGTATAGTTTGCATTTGTGCTTAAAGGTGTGAATTTGACCGGGAGAAGAAACCATACCTCACTACCAGATCCATGCGTAAAGGCTGCAGTGATTTCCCTTTTTAACTTTTCTGTCTTGATAGTGGCTGCCTTGCCCCAAGACCTTACATTGTGATACCATTTTATGCCTTTCAGAGCATGTAATATTACCTTTAATCTCATTGCCTCAATTCTCAATGGTAACTCTTGCTTGTGAAGCAGTCTTCTCAGCTGCCACACAGGTTAGCTACTGGGTTGGGATCCTCAGTGTTCTAGTCCTGGACTCACTGGACAGTTATTCAGAGAGTGACTCATATTCGGTCTCCACCTCTGACCAACGTCAACTGTGTGCTATAAAGGGCATCATTCTTGAAAAGCTCTGCAAGGAGTGTCAGTGTAGGGCCAGCTAAGAACCCTGCTCAGGTCTGTGCAGTAAAGTACCCGAAAGCTAAGAGGAAACAGCCATTAGAGATGATCTGCTCTCCTGGGGTCAGTGCTGGGGGCGGGGGGAGACAGTCTGCTGGTTTCTGGGTTATTTTGTGAACAAAGGCTCTAGGACAGTTGTATTTATGTGACACTGCCTAGTTGCTTCTCTGTCCTCAGTCTCTTAAACACCTTAAGCCAAGGACTTTTACTACACTCTGCAGTTGAGTGTTTACACACAACAGGCAGTCGTTAAGTAACACTGACACAGATGAGAGAAACCCTGATGATCCAGAGACTTTCTAAAGGACTTGAAGCAGAGTTTGAGCTGTGCTTCAGAGTTCTAGCTTTGATTGCTCATGTCTGGCCACTTGTATTTCACATCACCAACTTAGGCCCTTCTGAGCCTGTCTGAGTCCCTCTGCACTGTTTTGGGGAAAACCCTGGTGAGTTGGCAGAATCCTAAAGGCCTGTCTTATCTCACTTGTCTGCCTCTCTTTTTGTTTGTAGCCCAATGCCTGTGAGCAGGTGTCCTGGTTTCCAGAATGTACCACTGAAATTCCTGACTCTCAGGAAATGAGTGACTGGATGGTCGTGGGAAAGGTAGGGTTTCTTGAAGATGTCCCCATCTCTCCCTTGCTTTTCTTCCCTTGAGTCTGGTGTGTGCTTACTGCAGTTAGAGAAATGTGGAGACCGTGTCACGAGTGTGTCCCAGGAGGTGTGGCATGAAACCTGGAAAGTAGAAACAGTTACCCCGCCTTCCCTCTCTGGGCACCTTAGGAGTCACCTGTGCTGTGTCTGTGCGGTCTCTGCTCACTGCCAGGCCTTGTTCCAGGAGGAAAGGACAGTGTTCTGTCCTCAGAGTGACCAGGACATTGTCAGCAAAGGCACTCGCTTACTGTCATTCTAGAAAACGGAAAGTGACCGGAGTGGTCACCACTCAATGTGGTCTCCAGGGGTAGGGTGACCTCAGGAGTGCCCCAGGGTTACAGCTG